CCATTGGCTTTTTTTGCCGCCACATCACATTGTTGGCTCATGTTTAACTTGTTGTCCACGAGGACTTCAATACCTTTTTCACACGTACTACTCTCAAACCAGGCGTCTTCCCCATTCTGTATCTGCATTTCACTTTTTCTGCCAAAGTGGAGTCTCTTGCATTTGTCACTGTTGAACATCATTTTGTTAGTTTTGGCCAATCATTTCTCTAATCTGTCAAGATCGTTTTGAATTCTGCTCCTGTCCTCTGGAGTATTGGCTCTCCCTCCCAATTTGGTGTCGTCTGCAAACTTGATGATCCTGCCTTCTAGCCCTTCATCTAAGTCATTAATAAAGATGTTGAACAGGACCGGGCCCAGGACAGAACCCTGCGGCACTCCACTTGTCACTTCTTTCCAGGATGAAGAGGAAGCATTGGGGAGAATCACCCTTTGGGTTCGTCCATTTAACCAATTACAGATCCACCTCACCGTAGTTTTGCCCACATTGGACTAGTTTGTTTGCCAGAAGATCATGGGGCTAACGGTGTAGAAATGGTGGGGCCGCAGACCATATTTTCATTCTTGTGAACCACTGGTGGTCTACAGACCACAGGTTGGGAACAACTGCTTTAGAAAGAGTGGGGACAGAATGGGGGACAATGCCTGGCTCAAGAGCAGTACGTGTGAAAAAGATCTTGAGGTTCTTGTGGACAACAAGTTAAACATGAGCCAACAATGTGATGTGCCAGCAAAAAAAGCCAATGTGATTTTGGCCTGCATCAAGAGGAGCCTAGTGTCTAGATCTAGGGAAGTCATGCTTCCCATGCTCTATTCTGCCTTGGTTAGACCACACTTTGAATGCTGTGTCCAATTCTGGGCACCACAATTGAAGAGAGATATTGACAAGTTGGAGAACAAGGGTAAGGGTCTGGAGAACAATTCAAGAGCTGGAATGTGTCCAGAGGAGGGCGACTAAAATGATCAAGAGTCTGGAGAACAAGACCTATGAGGAGCGGCTTAAAGAGCTGGGCATGTTTAGCCTACAGAAGAGAAGGCGGAGAGGAGACATGATGAGGGCCATGTATAAATATGTGAGATGAAGTCATAGGGAGGAAGGAGCGAACTTGTTTTCTGCTAACCTGGAGACTAGGATGCGGAACAATGGCTTCAAACTATAAGAAAGGAGATTCCGTCTGAATATGAGGAAGAACTTCCTGACTGTGAGAGCATAGTGTCTAGATCTAGAGAAGTAATGCTCCCCATGCTCTATTCCGCTTTGGTTAGACCACACCTGGAATATTGTGTTCAATTCTGGGCACCACAATTCAAGAGCTGGAATGTGTCCAGAGGAGGGCGACTAAAATGATCAAGGGTCTGGAGAACAAGCCCTATGAGGAGCGGCTTAAGGAGCTGGGCATGTTTAGCCTGAAGAAGAGAAGGTGGAGGGGAGACATGATGAGGGCCATGTATAAATATGTGAGATGAAGTCATAGGGAGAAAGGAGCGAACTTGTTTTCTGCTGCCCTGGGAACTAGGACATGGAATAATGGCTGCAAACTACAAGAAAGGAGATTCCACCTGAACATAAGGAAGAACTTCCTGACTGTCAGAGCTGTTCAGCAGTGGAACTCTCTGCCCCGGAGTGTGGTAGAGGCTCCTTCTTTGGAAGCTTTTAAACAGAGGCTGGATGGCTATCTGTCAGGGGTGATTGGAATGCAATATTCCTGCTCCTTGGCAGAATGGGGTTGGACTGGATGGCCCATGAGGTCTCTTCCAACTCTTTGATTCTATGATTCTACTGTGTTGCGAAATGTATGACAGCAACATGGAAGATTTGGAAAGCACTGATTTACGTCTTCTATCATGTTGCTGCCTAACCAGCATTCTGTCCAATTTTGGCATGCACCAGAATCTTAGTCAAACTGTATTCCCTTTTCAGTAGCATTCATACAACTCCTTGAAGCAGGTAATGCTTTGACCAAATGTAAATGGAGCTTGGAGAAAGAAAGATTGCAAGAGTGGGGTGCCTCGGACTAGCACATCTTTGCCAAGAGTAAAAGTCAAAGGATTTGGTGATGGCGTTGTGTTACAACAGCTGCTATGAGGTGGTCGAGCTTCCCCCACTATTCAGGAGAAGCCATCCTTCCACTATTTTGGAATTTGCAGCCTCCTTGTCTATATTGGGTAAGAAAAAAGAGAGAGAGATCATCTGTCACCACCCACTGTCAAAGCCTCGGGCCTGGCTCATCACAGAAGATGGATCCGATTCCCTTCGAGTCCCAGCTGGTATCATCAAAACTCCCACTCTGGTTGGTTTCTCAACAAATCCTGGTGTGTGTCAATTACGGTTTAGCCCTTCAATGCAAACTTGTGACATTCTCGGCAGTCTTCAAGAAGCATGTTGACCTTTTAGGCCTTTGACATGTCCTACAAACACACACACATACACACCTTCCTTATGACCACATCCATTTAGTGGACAATTCCAGTATATGACAAAGTGTTGTCTTGTTTCATAGAATCAAAGAGTTGGAAGAGACCTCATGGGCCATCCAGTCCAACCCCTTTCTGCCAAGAAGCAGGAA